AACATTCACTTAAAAAGCTTAGTGCTTTAAGGTCTTTCAAATGAAAAGTGTCAATCATTATGACATACTATTAGAAGTATTTTTCTTTTATTTACAGCATACATTGAAATAAATCATCTGCAGGTGTAAATCTGCCAGTGAAGTCAATGGATCTATACTGATTTACAGTCCCTTATGATCTGGCCCTTTGATTTGAAATCATTACTTGGAAAGAATAACTAGAATGTCTGGGTTAAAAAGGAAGTGGATGGATTCTTTAATACTGACAATTGGTTGATACTTGGTCAAACCGACATGTGCTCTACAAAAGGCCAAGAACACCTATACATAAGTGACTCTGTTGAAATAAATGGAAAAGATCACTTGACTTTAGACAGGATCTAAGAAGGTAGGATCTTTTTGTTTGTTTTATTTGTGGGGTTTGGACAAAATCTGCAAAGGGGCTGTCAAAAGACTCAAAGAAAGATTTTCTTTTTTAATATATATATACAGTGGAAGTGCTGAGTATCTCAGGAGGTTTCACATCAGCTTTGTGAGAAGTGAGATTATTCTGATAAGAAGTATAATGCTAAATTCTTTTCCAAACTTCTTTACAATACTGAGTCTTTTCAGAATCAATTCATGCTTATGAGATTCATGCTCTCATGAGATGAATCTCTCTTTCATGTATATCATAAACAAAGGAATAATCTTATGATTTTATCTACAACATGCTAATTCATAAGGTGTATTGCCTAGAGTAGAAGACTAACAAAAGGTAATTTTCATGAAGCTCAAAGAGTTCCTATCAGTCTCTGAACTTGAGAAGGTTGATGTTTTGTTTGAAAGTTTTAAGTAGATTTTAAGACATTTTTCAATATTTTAGTCTCTCCCACTTAAAATCGTAAAAGATTAAGCAACAGTTGTTGTTCAGTCTTTCTAGAACTACAACAGCATTATAATTGTCAAAAGAAATGTTTTTATGTATGCAGAATATTATCTATCAAGCACATCAGAGCCTATCCCATTCATGCACAAGTAAGTCCTAGAAAAATAGCTGTGGCCAGTTACTTGTTTTACTTATTCTAGTTAGTTAGTTATCTCACTTATTCCAGCACAGAATTTATCCTTTGATTTTAAGGGATAAAATTTCCAGAGGAGTTTCTTCAGACTAAATATTTAGAGAAGAAATTACAAAGCTAATGTCATTTGTCAGAATCAGGACTACAGTATTATTTGAGAGAAGATCGCTGATAATAAGCACTATTGATTGTAGTATGCAATCAATATTTATGTCTCATGTTAAAAATTAAACGGACATTGTTATGATGTAAGGAATGGGGATACAGGAACAAGAATAAATATATTTAATGTGAAATTGCTAGTGGAAAACAAATGTTTAAGAAGACATTTTTTTTTCAGGGGGGATATCTATGAGGGTAATTAATTACTAATAGGATAACTGCACCAAAATTTTGATCATAACATCAATGTTATGATACAGATCTTACTTCTTCATTTTTACTTTATTATTTTTGTTTCACTGACTGAATAACAAAATACTATTTGGCTAAGAACGACAGGAAATCATCAAATTGACATCAATTTATTTTGGAACAAGATGTACGTGTTCTTTCTTAGAGAATATTACCTTAACTTCTTAAGTCAAGCAACAAAAGCTTATAGCATGCCATGCAGAAAGCCTAGATCTTCACAAGTACCTGTGTGCTGCAGGAACAAACACCCGGCTAAAGCCTGAGCCCTTGCAAGCTCCCAACTCCCACTCAATGCAAAGGCAACATTAGGCACTTACAAAGGGATATTCACAGACTGGGAAACTATCTAGGATAGCAAATGAGATACTGAGAAATGTAAAGGTGTTTACCCAGCTGGTGTGATCATAACTCTGCACTTATTTCTACACAGAACCCCTGGCTGTCAACCCTGTGATGGATGGTACACTGTTTGTTCATCAAAATCAGTGAAAAGACAATAGAAGGGTGAACTGTCATATGAACTATTGCACATTATATAGAACTAAGAGCAAGTACTTAACTGAACTAACATGATAAAATGATATTGTGTAAAAGAGTGAAAGAAAGGGGGAGGGGGGCAACAAGAGAGAGAAGTGTCTGTACTTTATAAAGCATGAACAAGGACGTCCATAAATCTCCTTGCTCAAGACCAGTAATGAGCCTAGACTGAGAAGCCACTGCAAACTTGTAAAATCATCACATTCCAGGCAAAGGGTGAAAAAAAAGTACACTGTGAGGAGGACCTACGGCCTTCCTCCTGAAGACCACCTCCCATGATTTGAAGACCCCCGACCCGTAATTTTCAGCAGCATCTGTGCAAGCGTAAAGGACTGATAAGCTAATTACCATACGAAGCGGGAGTAGGCGAGTTTAGGTAATGTATATGTATAGGAATTTAATGAATATGCAATGCTTTGTAGTATAAAATTAAGACAAAATTCCTTGAGAGGTGCGGGCTGTTGTTGGAGCAGGAGACTCCCCGGCCACCCAGCGCTGTTTTGCTTGTTGCCGCTTGCTAAATAAAACTCTGACTCAGCCAAAATTAAGAAGTCAGTTTATAACAAACCCCTCCTAGAAAGAGGCATCTAAGTCTGACTGGTGAAAATTAAGAAATGAACCCATTTCTCCACAATACCATCGAGCAGACTATTGGAGGACTTTCACGGTAGGACACCTGGATTTAAAACTATATCTTGCTGATCAGGAACAGAAATTATTTAAATTTTCTCTGAGGAACAATATACTTTCACAGGATACTGGCTATTGTAAGTCAAGTTTCCCTCACTCCTTCCCTTTGGAACTTTTGCATTTCAGAGATACTTTTAATAATTATTTATTGTAGCAGGAACTTGAATCTTGGGCTCCAGCATCCTATATGAACACTCCTAACTTAAGAGCTTATAAAAACTATATAAAAAATAAAATAAAATAAAATAAAATAAAATAAAATAAAATAAAATAAAATAAAATAAAATAAAATAAAATAAAATATTCATAGCTAAAGTAATTCTAACTTTTTTTTTTTCAAGTAGAAAATTTTATATTTAAAATAAGAATTCCTACATTTCTCTTCTGCCTCTCAAAAAACTAGAAGATACTTGCAAATAATGAATGTGGAGGGTTGTGTTGGATTTTTTGTTTGTTTGTTTGCTTTGTCATAATGCAAAAAAAGCACAGGCTTGTGCATATTAGCCAAAACTTTATTTTCTTTACAAATAAGACATATTGCTTCAATAACATGTAAAATAACACCCAGTCCAAGTATAAAATATTTCCAAATGCCTTTAAAACTGCTACTCACTACAAGAAAAGGCATTCAGGTGCTGGAACATATCCAAGGAAGAGCAATGAAGCTGGTGGAGGGTCTAGAGCACAGGTCTTATGAGAAGTGGCTAAGGGAACTGGAGTTGTTTAGTCTGGAGGAGAGGAGACTGAGGGGAGACCTTATTGCTCTCTACTACTGCCTGAAAGGAGGTTATGACCAGGCAGGTGTTGGTGTCTTTTCCCAAGTAACAAGTGATAGGACAAGACATAATGGCCTCAAGTTGTACCAGGGAGGTTTAGATTGGATATTAGGTAAAATTTCTTCACTCAAAGGGTTATCAAACACTGGAACAGGCTGCCCAGAGAAGTGATTGAGTCACCATCAATGGAGGTATTGATGAGAATTGTAGATGTGGTGCTTAGGTACATGGTTTAATGGGATATGGTAGTGTTAGATTTACAGTTGGAGTGAATGACTCTAAAAGTCTTTTCCAACTTAAATGATTCTATAATTCTATGATCTGATTATTTTAACTTAATATCTAAAGACAGGAAAATGATGAGTTACCAAGATGCTTCTGGATAAATTAGTGGCAAAAGTAACCTCTATACAGCCTATAAATCTATACTCAGAACATTTTGATGGCAAGGAAGTTACGGGATTTATAAATCTCTGTCTCATGTTTCAGAGGTGAGTTATCTTCCTTACCAAGAATCTAATAGCTTGTTTCAGTGAATATCAGTTTATTTTTCCTCATCATAAATATTGACTTGGTCTTCCCCTTGTTCCACTTTAATGTATTCCATTGATAAATAATAATATACATCTCAACAGAAATTAACATCTACTTATTAGAATAGATTTCCTAGTACCATAATAATCAGAAAGTCTTTTTAATCAGGATGGAAAACAAGATGATTATAGTTGTTCATAGGCCAATAAAAACGTTCTTTTTATTTCCTACTCGATTTTACAATGACTGCTGGTTGTGGAGATTTTCTGGTATAAGGCATGCAATAAAAAGGGACAAATCCTTTGCATAGTTCTTTGTTCAGAACTTCTCAGAATTGGTCTAGCCACCACATAAATATTATCTGCACAAAGATGAAGTCAGTGGAAAAGATGAGTAAAAGATTTGTCTCTATTCCTTCCAACATATAACTCACAGTTTATCTCTTTATTTATAGAATACAGTATCTAGTTCTCATAATTTCATTCATGATGTAATACATGTATGGAAGTTGGAAGAAAGCCACTCTGAAATAAGCTTCACAGCTGTGTAATACAGTGATCATGTGTAGCATGTGGATCAAGAGGAAGCAACAGCCTAAGGAAAGCAAAGACTGATATTTCAGGTTCCTATTAATTAATAATAGATGCAAACTAGTTATGCTAGTGCATTGGTTTAGGCTCTGCTGGGACTGGAGACCACATTCCTGTTGTCCCTCCCCCACCCTTGGACACAAGTAGGGCACAAACCCTGGGTTAAAATAAGAAGAAATTTAATACAACAGTGTAATAAACAATTTGAACAACAGTAGCATTGATAACAACAATAAACAGTAATAACAGTAAACAAGACAGAAGATATACAGAGAAATACCACAATGGTTACAGACAGCTCGCTCGCGATGCTCCCCACCACCAAAGCCACAAATGAAAAAGTTCTCGCGCTGCCGCACCTGGACCTGATGTCAGCATGGTATGATTCTCTTCTGGGGAAACTTAACCCTATCCTAGTTGAACAGGACAGCTAGTTTTAGATTACATGCTACTTGACACTGGAATATAAACTGGAATGAAGAACATCACCTCACAGAAGGGAAGTGAAATGGTATTGAAAAGATAGAGACAGTTGCCATGATTAAATAATTTTATTTTCAACAGTATATATTTTAAGAGAATGGATCTTCCACAAAATGAACAGTGTAATGCTACTGAGGTGGAAAAACAAATACTGTAGCCCATATCACAACAGGAGAGCCTAATGAAAATGAAACTGATCACAAAACATAATAAATAAGTTTAAGAACACCTTTTTCTATTGAATCAGATGGAGATGAAAGGAAAGATAACCTTGAAATAGTGATTTTCTTGCTCTAAGGTATTCAGGAAAACTACCTAAATTTTATCTTCTTTTATTTTTTCACTATTTAGAAATAAATCCTTTGTCTGTGTTTGGTATTCTACCAATCCAGCTGATTGCTTTCTGAAACACTTGGGACACTTTTCTCCTGGCCCTCTTTTTAAGGACAGAATCCCAGATCAGATTTTTGGGAGATAATTCTTTCTGTCTCCAGTGAGACACTACTGTTTCAATACAAATCTAACCAGGGAGTTTAGGCATACGTACAGTCTAAGTGCAAAGAGAGTTTTAGTCCTTGTGGATGTTTTGTTCAAATAGCTTCCAGTTGCAACAGGCAGCAGTCCAGGCTCTGTGGAAAACTTTTTGCTGTATTTCAGTGGCTGGGAAGTTTACATGTCACTGTCACCCTTGTATCTAAAATAAAAAAGATGAAAATAAAATAAAAAAGAAAAGAAGAGAAAAAAAGAGAAAAGAAAAGAAAAGAAAAAAAGAAAAGAAAAGAAAAGAAAAAAAAAGAAAAGAAAAGAAAAGAAAAGAAAAGAAAAGAAAAGAAAAGAAAAGAAAAGAAAAGAAAAGAAAAGAAAAGAAAAGAAAAGAAAAGAAAAAAAGAAAAGAAAAGAAAAAAAAGAAAAGGACTCATCACTAACAATAATTTTTACTTTAACAGTGAAAAAAGGGACATGAGAACAACACATTCATACAAATGGTTGGTTTAACACACACTGAACAAATTAATGCATAAATTGGCTGTGATAAATGCTTGTGTTAAATGAGGTTATTTATTATGTGTTCCATTACATAAATTAGTTGCAGAATTATAACAAATGCTGTTTATTAATCTTACCTTCCCTGTGGCTGGAGAATGACTTGAGGCAATTATCTTCAGTGTGGAACTCAATTCTATTATTGTTGACAGTCGAAAGAGACCAGTCAGGCTCCTAATCCTGCACAGGCAGTTCAAATCCTTCTGCTTCTGCTTTTAAGCATCCTGTATCTCATCTTGACTTTCTGTGTTGACATGGTGTGTCATGGCATCTCTTTCCAGTACTATTGCCTCTAGTTCAGGAATTCCTGAAAATGCAGATTCAAGATATAAGAAATAAGAAGTGAAAATGACTTGATAGCTATTCTTTTTACTATATATAAATTATAAGACAAGGGATATTTGACTTGATCTCAGTAACTTTGCCACATATTGAGTGGGACTGCAGTTTCATTTGTCTTTTTCATCACTATTTCACTCTAAAATTGCCCGTGAAAGTCCTGCACCGGAAGAAATCTGGACTGGAGGAATGGGGTGCTGTGTGCTTAAGGAATAAATCCCACAAAACTTCTATTTATATTTTCATCATTTAGATAAGAACTAAGATAAGACCAAAATGTTATTCTAGACTGCTAGAATGTATAAATGATGTGGTTGAAGATTTAATGGCCCTGCTTCTATCCTGTGCCAGGTAGACAGGGTAAAATTCCACGGACAGGAGTGAAAGAAATTCTGATTCAAGCTTTGTGAGAAGCTATGGTTCTGCAGCTTCAACTTGCCCTTGAAGAGTGAGACTGGAACAAAGGCTCATGCCCTATCCTCATTTCACAAGAATAATGAAGAAGAGTTCTTCTGGGGAGCTGCTGACATAATTTCCCCTACAGCCTACTCCCCATTTTCTCTGAAGAGCTCATTAGAACAAGTTCCTTGACCACTGCTGTCAGATCAGAGAATGGATCATTTGTCTGTTTTTCTCCTCCATCTACATCTTTTGCTATTTTTCTTAGGTGAACAGGGTGGAATAACTATGAAGGCATTTTCATTGTGCAATTTCTAGAGGGGAGAAGAGGAAATGGTTTAGATAGATCTGTAAAAGGAAGGGAAGGAAGATGTAACTGAAAACTGATCACCTTTGATATATTTTTTAAAATGCTACTTTTAATATTGTTATTATCCCTTTAGAGCTGTGTAGCTTTCCATTGCAAACATCTTAAAACCTTTGCGATGCCTAATGCAATGGGATCCTCATACTACCTGTTTTCAGATGCTGGCCTAAGAGACATAATAAAGGGAATCTAAGGTATTATTCACACCAGTGCTGAAAACACAGCAAAGGGCTCCAAGGCAAAACCTCCAGCAGCTAGATCTAGACTCTGTGCAGTGGAATAGCACTTAGGAAAACCAGCTGCAATGCGGCCTCAAGGCAGGTAACAGGATATGTTTCCATGCAGTCAGGATGCAATAACAGCAGTGCTTGGTGCTTTCACCAAGCTGGCAACTGGCCTGTTTGACCGTGAATTTAAAGATCAAATGTTCTTTGACCCAGAAATAGTGTGAGAAAAACAATTAAACCCACACATTGGCTTAGAGTTGAGTAAAATTGCACTTTCAGGGAATAAAAGATCCCAATATATGACTAGAAAACTCAACAGAAATTTCATGCTTACTTTTGCTTAGATGTATTTCTACCTTATATTATGAAAAACTAGGAATAAAAAAATAAAGAGAAAAATTTAGAGACCTGAATTCTAAGAGGTTTGACCTTGAAGTAGACAGCCGGGTCAACTCCTCTCTGACTCATTTTTTAACATTTTCCTCTTAAGTGTCATTGAAAATTAACAATTAAACATGCCCAGTAGTGCACTGTTTTTAAAATAATTGATTTTTTTGGATTCTTGGCTTAAAGAAGGACCAGGGCATGTGATAGCAGCCCACAAATATACTGGTTAGCACTTCACAGTGTCACTGCATTCTCACACTTTTATTGCAGAAAAGCAACACAGGAACTTTACCATAAAAATAACCATGAATATCTTCAAACACTCTACTATATTAGCATACCTGCCTGTTCAAGATGTCTGCAAATAATATCCTAAAATACTGAGTAAATTACCAGAGTTATCTTATGGTTGCTTCTCCAGACACAGAATAGCATTTGTATTTTACACAGCTGTAAACTGCACCACTTGTTAAAATATCAATAAGTGCATAAATATCAGCAAATGGAAGGAACTGAGGAGAAACCAAAACTTTTTTACAGATTCAGAGCAGTGAGACATTTATATGAATCTTTTACCTAAGAGGTACAAGAGTCTGAAATGGAAATGGTGCAAATACACAGGGAGTACCTGTGGAAAGAGGCTTCTTCAGGAGCTATCAGTTATATGTCCCTTCTAGGTATTCTCCTCCTCCTGACTCTCCCACAGTCTTATTTCAGGTACATTTTCTTTGGACTACAAAAGTTTCTGCAAGAATCTTCCTTTGGATCACCCCCATTCCATGGGACAATTACCACTGCCTTTTCATTTTACATGAGAGCAAGGGAAAAATGAATACTAAGAATGCTAAAGGGATAAAATGACAGGTGCAGAATACATAATTTCATGTAACCATCCTCCATGATTAATACTTCAAAGTTCACTAGAGAAAGTGAGTATCAGCAAAAGAGCAATGCTGAACTACACCAGAGTCAACTTTTCAGGAGAACAACTTGAAGAACAAAAGGTATTCAAATAAATAAGATAGGTCTGAGAAGCCTGTTGATTTAATCAGGTATAGATACAGAGATGCTAAGAAGGTGGTTTTACTAAATAATTAGCTTTCAGCTTGTCTGTTCTTCATTATATTGTTATAACAACATTGCAGAACTCTTTATTACTGTTTAATTTATATATGTTAAAAAGTATACATAATAAATTCCCCCATCTCATTGAATTTCAGAGGACAAAACAAAATATAAAATAAATTATGTAAAAATTAAATTCAAAAGTCCTGTCTAGAGGCATGGTCACACAATCAATTAACCTTGAAGTAAGATGGAGTTTGAATTTAGAGTATATCATCCACTTCATAAAGACCACCTGAACACACATTCACCCTATGGTAGGCAGAGGGCAATTTATAACACTCAGGGAAACTTCTACGCAGCTGAGCTTACTGCCAGGTTCTGACCAATGGCACCACCTGGCTGAATGCTTTGATTAGAATGGACGCTGCATCTATTATTAAAATTATTATGCTTTAATATTTATGATACATTGAGGAAAGAAAAACAGAGTCTAGCAGCTGTTAGATGTCCAGACGCAGATGGATGCAGTGTGGTACTGAAGAAAGGTAGAGAGTCACGTGTACAGACTCTTAACCACACCGCGGAGTTCTTTCAGCACCAGTTTCCATGAGGCTTTGAAATGACATATCAGTTCCAATGCATACAATTAAAATCAGCAATAGTAAAAAGTGGCAGGTCATCATAGGAGTTTAGGGTGACCGATAAAAACCTGTCATGTGGTCCTCTAAAAGACTGTCCCTAAGCAGCAGACTATTACAAGACTTTCTGTATATAAGGTACAAATCAGAAATTTGTAATCAGAAATGCATAGCAAGAAATCAGAGCCATGTTTAGCTACTGTGGGATCCAGGGAAAGATAAGATGTACACTTTTGTTTAAACATATATATTTATAGTGTATTTTTATTTATTATTATTCCTGGCTCATCTTTCATCAAAAATTTCTGTTGTTTACCCAGTGCCTGTAATTTTCCCTTACTTTTATGTCGTCAGTTAAATTAATAAAAAAAGGGGCCCTTTTTTTGTGTTTTCCCTCAGAGAGTGAATCCAACAGATATAGAGACTCTGATCCTTATTCCCACATAAGGTTTTATTCAACCAATGGTCAATGGGTCTTCATGCAGAGAAGGGTGGGTGCCTGCATAAGGAAGCTGTTGCTCTCAAGATAAATTAACAAGAATTGAGAGGACCTCTGTAATGTTTAGCATTAGACCATTAATTTTAAATGCAACATATTACAATTTTTACATTTACAATTGCAAACATAATTAAATGGAAAATACTACAGCTGATTCTCCCTTTCTAGTGAATACTCTGGCATTCATTCAGCTATTTTTCTCCCTTGTTCTGCAATTTCTTACCTCATAAAAAAGGGCACTTCAGCTACTGTCTACTCTGGAAAGAGGGAACTAACCACAGCTGAGGGCACTCTAGCCACAGATGTCCCTCTACTCTTCATGCAGGTAGTCCTCCTAAACTGGAGGCTGAAGGGTGCAGATTACTGCAGCTCTCAGTCAGTTGGAGAGCCCTGCCAGAGAGAGGGCATTCCCAGCAAAGAATTATGTCCATTTTATGCTTTCACAGTGCAAGAAAAGACATCTGGGAAAACATTTTTTTTTCTCAGTTCTGCACTCTTATTCCCAGTATTTTAGGATTTATTTTTGATAAAGTGCATTTACAGAGCTTGTTATGTAAAAATAATGAATTCTCTGATATGCACTATTTCTGCCATGAGGGGAGACAGGTACTGTTCTTGGGATTACTGGTATATCATTTCAATCCTGTAGAGAGAGGTATTAGTTCACAATTTAACTCTACATTGTCATTATTACCCTAGAGCCTGTGCTTGCACTTTGAATGGAACACTTTATCCTGCAGTGATATATTTTACTCATACCCAGGCAATTTCAGGGATATTTGGTGAGACGTATTCCATGCTCTTAGTGGGATCACATAAAAGTATGTCTGCTGTATAAACTTTAGGTGTGTGTTCCCTGGTGCAGCTCTATATATTATATTCCTGAAGTGCTCCTAGAAAAGAGAAAGCACATTTCCAAGCTTTAGAGAAAGTACACTAAACAGATTATTTTCTTTTATAAACATTCAATTTTGTAGCAAGCTTTGGGATAAATTCAGCTTTAACATCAGAGCAAAGAATTAATGTCAACTTTACAAAGAATTGTGCTTGTCCTTTTTCGTCAGGATGCATTTTACCTATCAACGGCCATTAATTTCAAATCATTAAACCCTTTGTGGCTTGATTTTTGGCCAGTACTACAAGAGAGTATTGTGGACATCAACAGAATTATGGTAAGAAAGCATCGATAAGCCTTTTTCATAAGCTATTGAAGAATTTATAGAAATTCTAATTTCATAGGATGATTTTTCTGTGATTTCAAAGTGCAGAGGAAACACTGAGAAGATACAGAGCAAAAATTTGTGAAATGCAAAAGCTGACGATGTAGGCTTTTTTTTAATTTTTTCTTTTTTTCTTTTTTTTTTTTTTTTTTATGTTGCAGACAGTGAAACATAAGGGAGAAAAAAGGAAAACAAAACCAGGAATTTTCAAAATTCTGGAATAAAAAACCCCCTTCAAATTGTCATTTCTGTAATAAAAAAAAAAAAAAAAAAAAAGAGGAAATTTTCTGGTTAGTAGTTTTTTATCAACTCCTTTTAAATACACAAATATTACAGTAAAGGAGCCATATAAACAAATTTTTTAGTCTCAGTCTAATATATGTGTAAGAGTTACTCAAGTACCAGTCAAAATCAAAAGCACATTGTCTGAAGTTGCATTCTTTCCATCCCCTGTATTAAGCATTAAGTCCTTCTAATTCATCTGATATATTTCCAAGGTATTTAGTGCTGTGGTGTTTAGGTGTCAATATCTGATGTTTCTTTTTGCTGTAAATTGATTCTTTGTACCTTGTCAGATGTGTGAACCTTCCTACTGTGCATATAAATACATCAAGAATGTATGTGAGGGCTCATGGCTATCACAAGTAGCAGAAAATGTCCTTAAGTCTCAATCATACTCAAAATGTAGGGGGTTAGAAAGGAAATTGATGACTCCCTTTTTGCTATTTAGTCTCTGTATGAAAATTAGATGGGGGACCTCTGCTCAGCCTTGAAAATCTCCCACTGTCTAGATCAATTAAGAAAAGGCATGCTTTGCTTAGCTTTAATTTTGTGCTCATTTTTTTTCATTTTCTCTTTCCTTCCAGCTTCATTTTATAAAGTCATTTTTTATTGCATCTTGAAAAATGTGGGGATTTGGAAGGTCCTTGCTTACCTTCATCCACATTTGTAGGAGTGCATTGCTTACTTTCAATTACTCTTTTTAGGACTGATTTTGAAATGTTACCAGTATTGTGATAGTTTTCCTACATAAAGTTAAGACAACACTTTGCAATCTTCAGTCATGGACAGTAAATTTTTCTTCTCAGTGAGAGCAACATTTTAGATTAACATGAAATTATAATATCTAAATATTAATCTCAGGCTAAATTAATTCTGCAATTCACTGTTACTGTCTGAAGCATGGTGGCAATCCTTAATTTTCAGGACAGATAGACTTTTTTTTAGTTTTGTTACTGAATGTAATTATGTGGTAAATATGTCTAATTTACTTTGCTGGATGTCCTTTGAGAACCTGGTTATTACAAAAGAGCTTTGTTTGTAGTTTTACTAAGCAATGATTTAGACATAAGGAATTGTTAAAATAGTTGTTGCTAGCAAAACTCTGTCCGGGTTAAGACACTATAAGCGGAATATTCCATATACAATGAATGCAGTGTTATAGTCACAATAAATATCTTTGACATGATAAGTATTGTGAGATTTTCCCAAAATAAATTATGAGATTTTCCCAATATAAACTACATATATATGTAAAACCTTATGCTAACCATTTTTCTGGTTAAATCATTTTCCTAAAATGAAAAGTCAGCTTGTTTTTCTTGCACTGAAATTTTAGGAATTTGAAGGCTAGACCAGACTATTTCTCAGGTTCTGCTCCTAGTAAATCATCATTTGGGCCTCCATGCTGCAAATTCAAATCTTAGCAACAATTATTTCAGCTCATGCTTGTCTCTCTGTGTTAGAAAGACATGGGAGAGACTACATAACAGGGTATTTAATATTGAGTGGAGGAGAACCTACCATCAGTTTCCTCAGGACCAGCAATAATTGGCTGAGAGGGTAAAAATCCACTCATTTTTATAGGATGCCTGACATGACCAAAATCTTATGATGAAATGGTGACAATGTCAATTGAAAGGATCTTTGTTCACAAAGAAACAAGTTTTGAAAATGATAAACCTGAGGAAAAAAAAAAAAAAAAGTTTAGAAATGTAAAGATCCATGTCTCTGTGAAAGACGCTCTTCTGTGGATAAATGAAGCAGAAAAGAATGGATGGGATGTCAGTTTGACTTTGATGTCATTAGCTATAATATTTTTCCTTTGTTTCCAGGCTCTGTACAGAGATGAACTTGAATTATTATCTGAATATTCATAACTGTTACATACTGGAGAAAATAATCCAGTAGACTTCAGGAGTTTTCAACCATTCAGGGTATTACATTTCCAGATGTAATTCCTGATGTAAAAGTGAACAAGAACAAACCACGAAGGTTAAAAGAAGTAACAAAGGAAGCTGTCAGCAATGTCTTTTTGAACTCAGTTCTACTGGGGTACAGTACAGTGGTCCACAACCAGCTCGGGTTTCTTGTCTTCTGTTGCCACAGCAAGAAGTTTAGTTTATGGATTAGGATTCACATGGACAGAACAAAAAAGATACTCTGACCTGCAGAAGTTTGCAACTTTAATTCTACTTCTATGACCTAGTGTGAGTCTATGTTAGAAAAATTGCTTTCTAATATATAGCCATTTTCTAATACTAGCCCAAGCCATCTTGACTCTAGTGACTCCAGTAAAAAAAATCTGTTTCTGCATCTTTCTCCATTTTTGTTGCATTGTAAACCTGATAAAGAGTTTTGCATTCATTTTCTGATCTCAGGTGTGCTTCTGGATATGCCTGCATATGAACGAATATCTCTGGAACAGTCCATGTACATACATATATCCATGGGCTATTCTGGGTTTGCATATTGACACGTATGTGATTAAAAACTTTTTCCTCACAAAAGCATAAAAAAAAATATATTAAAATATTATAACTTCTCCTAATGCATATTTATCCTCTCTGAAGCAAATAATTAGACCAAATTGTCCTTCTCTAATTTCTCTATAGATAAAAATTTTTATTAAGTTAGAAAACACCAAAAACATTTGGAATCAAAAGATACTTAAAACTCAATAGAATACATACCTGGAAAAGCAGAAAGACCGATTCCTGACTTCTCAGCTGCCTGGAGGGTGTTAGCCATGCAGCCAAGCTTTAAGTAGATATTCATTCAAATTTTCAACCCTAATGGAATATTGCCAGCCACATGCCACATATCTCTGAGCAAGGTCATTGTTCATTTTCATGGTAACATCAAAATTTTAAGAAAAATAAAAGGAGCCATTTTCATATGCAATAATATAAATTTTGATTAAAATTGATCTTCATTTAAATTATTTAAATAAGGTAGCTCTTCTTTGATGATGAGTGTTCATTTCCAGACTGAAGACTGTTAATTCCAGTCTTGATGTCCTAATTATAGGTGATAGCCTGAATTAACATTCAGCTACTTACTATGTTTCTCACATCTTAAGCAGAAATGTATCACTCCTCTAACCACTCTGACCTCTCGCCCCTAGAGCTGGGAATTCTCACAGAAGTACAGAAAAACAGTTCAACAGATCAACTAGAGATTATTTCTGCTTAAAGACTGCAACATTTGTGTGAAAAGCATCATCAAGGCCAGAATAGGGATAGCAATGTTAATTTTCAAAACCTTAAGTGCAAGAGAACAAGGACTTCCACAGCAGAACCAACTGAGTTTAAAAGACTATTTTCGGTATGCAAAGGTGGCAGTCAGCTTTTCTGGAAAGCTGCTTCAGGAGTTCAGCTGGAACTTGGCTGTTACATCCCACTGAAGTTTATGTCACCTAATTCTGAGGGGTTAACAGACACTGGAAAAATATAACCCTCTGTCATACGTCTTGGCACTGAGTGCTTGCTGAGTAACACCCGGTCCCAGAAGTGAAATGAAAATATACAACAGTGGTAACTGTGCAGATAAAAGCCTCGCTCAAGGAACTCAGCAGACATACAACAGCTCATGGGAGAAGACCCAAGTGCAAGTACTGACTGCTACATGGCACTTATTGAAAATACCTGATTATTAAATACTTGAAATCAAATAATTTTCATTTAATGCAGTAATAAAAAAATTTCAAAGGTAACTGCATTCTCCACAGACACATGGATTATAAAGAATATGCTAAAATATTATTTAAGGCTTTCTAGTGGTTCATTTCTGAATTTGTCCTGCAGATAAAATCATGGGGACAAATATGTTGTCTCCACTGATTAGTGAGTCCACGTGATTATCTTGGCAGAATAAGATGTGGAGTTCACACTGATAGTGCTTGTGCTATAACTGCTGTGTAACAGACTGCTTTCTCCAATAGTCTCACTTTAGAAAGTTTTGAAGTATAAACTTCACAAAAGGAATTAAAAAAGTTCTAGAGTCCAAAAGCTGAAAACGGAGGAAAAAATAGGAATATTTCTCCTTCTGATAGCTCATGAAAAGGAAAGATGGTACTTTTGCCTGACCTTGAACTACTTGCTGGATAATGAGTATTCTTTAATTCCATGAGCTAAAGTAAAGAATTCTGTTTTCAAAAGGAAAGCCAGAAGGATATTAAGAACTTTTTCCCAGCAGTAAGTGTGGAGGAATGATTGTCATGCTGTGAAAAACTTGCTTTAGCTTTTCACTGAAAATAAACGGAGAAACAAAATGCCCTGTAGCTAATATCTAATCAATTAAAAAAAAAATAAAGGTATGTATTTGTGTTTGCTATACAAAGCCTCATCATAAACAACGCATCAGCAGCTTTTTGTTTTAATCGCTACCACAAGACTCTTCTGTTAATGTCTTTCAGGATAAAGGATTAAACATATTTGTGGTTTTTAAAATTATGTCAAACAACCTAAATTAAAAAAATTAAATATTATCCATCACATACACTATAGTTTTAATGTGTCTGAAGAATGAATACAAAACTGTAACATGCCCTGGATTGCATGCGAGTCCAAACACTGAGCCATTAGTTCCACTCCAAAGCTGAGTGTTCATCCTCCCTGAACTCCAGAAGTCTTTGGGGTGTGAGAGTCTAAACTTTATTTAATTTCTTCTATAGACAGCAAAGCAGTAGTCATGATGCCATAAGTAACAATATGTTCATTCAATTATTAAAAAAAAAAAATCAAATAAGAAATACATTTGATTTGCAGTCAAGAAATGTACAATGCAAAAAAGTTATTGTCTGTAAATAAACAGCTAAGTTCTGCCCCAGCTCAATTTTACTCCACCACTGAATAAAATTGAATAATACTGCACACTGAGTGAACCTTGTCATAATGTGGCTTTGCAGAAGTGGGAGTTGAGAAGTATGGAAACCTTAATCCAGCCATTTTTTAGCTGTAACACTGGAAGAGAGTAACAGTAGCATGTATTCCTGATAAGAAATCCATTATATTATACTAGCAATATTTCATCACACTGTATTAATGTTAATTTTACCAATCAAATTGCCAAGCTGAATTTAATTGACAGTTTTATTACCAATTATTCATTTCTCTCATTAGCATTAGATGTGAAAACTACTGGTGCAACAGAACCTTAAAAATATTTTAGCAAAAAAGTAATTTTAGTATGTTCTTATGAAAGCTTGCTGATTTAATGAAGTGGGTTCATCCAGAAGAAAGGTCAAAGGATATCTGAATTCTCTCAGCCCTGATACCATACAGAAATTCATAAACCTAACAGTGAAAAAAGATAGAATACCTAATTATTTAGTTATTACAGTAGACAGAACATATATGAATTGGATGTCATCTTTGATGTTTTGGAGTCCAAACGTGCTCTACCATGTCTATAGGTTTCATTTACTTCCCTGACATTCACCCAGTAAGAGCAGTACTTGATTAAAGAGATTTCTTTCAGAAAAGAGCAGCTTTATCCGAAAAGTTAGGTTTCAGAACCTGCCCATAGAAAAGGAATGGATTCATCTCTTGGGTAATGCATCATTTTCAACAGATATTACCATGGTCTGGAGTTTGTACCCCGAGGAAACATAGATCTGAGAAAAGCTATGGCACAAGAACCTTGTTGCTGGTACAGATACCAGATGTTACCATCGCCCAGATTAAATCAAGCACTGTCTGTACACTGATGATTGAGTGTTGCAGTTTATTTTTGCTTAATAAATTCAAGACTAAATTATGGTTTACATTTAAAGGAAACCACTAACACTTTCCAATTCCATTTCATTCCATTTTGTACCTTGGTTAAAAGTGAACACTAAGGAGATTTTGTTTATCTGAGCTTTTTTCCATTAAATACAGAGGATGGCTGTTGATATATTATAGAATCATAGAATGGTTTGGGTTGGAAGAGATCTTAAAGGCCATCTAGTTTCAACCCCCTGCCATGGACAGGGACACCTTCTACTAGACCATGTTGCTCAAAGCCCAGTACACCCTGGCCTTGAACACTTCCAGGGAGGGGGCAGCCACAACTTCTCTGCGCAGCCTGTGCCAATGTCACACTACCTTCACATTGAAGCATTTCTTCCTTACATCTAATCTAAATCTATCCTTATTCAGTCTAAAACCATTACCCTTCTTCTTATCACTACACTCGCCATATTTTTTGTAGGCCCCCTTTAAGTACTGGAAGACTGCTATAAGGTCACGATGGTTTGCTTATGTTGAGTGTCCCAAAGCTGGACAGTACCCCAGGTGGGGTTTCACAAGAGCAGAGTAGAGGGTGAGAATAATCTTCCTCGACCTTCTGGCCACACTTCTCTTGATGCAGCCCAGGATACTGTTGGCTTTCCGGGCTGTGAATGAACATTGCTGGCTCACAGTCAGCTTTCCATCCACTAATACTCCCAAGTCCTTCTCTGCAGGGCTGCTCTCAATCCACTTATTGTCCAGACTTTATCTGTGTTTAGGGTTGCCTTGACCCATGTGCAGAACCTTGTGCTTGTTCTTGTTGAACTTAATGATGTTTGCATGGGCCTACCTCTGAAGCCTGTCAAGGTCCCTCCAAGGTCCCTCTGAATGGCATCCCTTCCTTCCAGTGTGTTAACCCCACCACACAGCTTGGTGTCATCAGCAAACTTGCTAAGGGTGCACTCAATCACACTGCCCATGTCTCCAGCAAAGTAGTTAAAGAATGCTGGTCTCAACATGGACCCCTGAGGAACACCACTCATCTCTGGTCTCCACTTGGATGTCGAGCTTTTGGTTGCAACTCTTTGAGTGTGACCATCCAACAGATAACATCCTTAATATAATCCTTTTTGTAGGTTTTCTAGACAACTTTAATTTTTTTTTTCCTTATTTGCTATAACCTTGCAAGCTATAATACTGAGCATGTAAACATGCTTGGAGGATCTGTAAGTCTGAATATTTTGGCTAATGAGATTTGAAGGGAAAAATAGAATTTGAATCACATTTTCTTTTGTCAAGAGAATTAAAAGAAGAAATGTAAAAATTTCTCAAGGATCAGTAGAAGCTAGAAGGTAATCTAGCTTCTAGAATGAGAAGGATTGTCAAGAGGATTAAAAGAAATAAGTTAGCAGCTAACCTGTCTGATTTAGGAACACAGATAAATGTTGTGTAAAAATAATTTAATATCTCCAAGTGGGACCCATTATTTCTCCACAACACATATTCATATTTACATTTACACTGTACATCTTTGAGAAGAAAGTAAAAATCAGTAACAGCAGAGCGTATTGCATTAAAAGGTTTAGTGTCTTGAGGAAACATCACAATAGCTCCCAAATTATTTCCTGAAATGAAATCTTTGGAAACATGATATTGTGAATTCCTATGCCATGTGTGGAGAACTGAAGTGACAACCTCACTTCACAGGCACAGTGGAATCTTCTTCTAGAGTGCTAAAGCTTGTCTGTGAAGCTTTTTTTTAAGGCCACTACTGTGCCACAAGCTCCCAGGGAAGCTAAGGATCACCACAAATTAGAACACTTTTTGTTCCCAGAGCAAAGCTCTTTTACCTTTCTTGTGCTAGAATAAAAAAGGTTCTGTGCAAACAATTTCTTTACAAAACCAACAGCAAAAAACCATAATCCTGTGAGTGGCAAAGTGTACAACTATCAAGTCTCCTAACAGAGAGGAAGGAGAATAAATCAGCAATTGCAGTACTGGGAATTCAATAGATGCTTAGTAATGAGGACAATTAGATGGGGTGGGACATGGTAGGGTGGTATGTGGTAGGGTGAGTTGGGTTGCTTTGAGCTAGTCTAGGCTAGACGCAAATCCCCTCAAAAAATAAGTGCAAGAACGGCTGTGTATGTTTGCACTGCTTAAAATCCTAGAACATTAAAACATTAATACATCATTAAAATGTACCAGCTCTCCTCCATTTTTAATCCCTACTGCATATAACTGTGGTTGCTAATCCTTTATTAATCATTTTGCACCAGTATTTAAATGAAGAAGGAGAAACATAACTTTTACTGTAGGTTCTCTTTTCCCTTCTATGGATATGTTCAGCTGTGAGAAAGTGGACAATAGGATGACTTTTTATAATTC